GGGGGGGGGGGGGAACCCTAGTGGCAATAGGAAGCCATAACAACTTTGTAATCATCGTGAATAAAACAAAAAGAGCAAGAACCTCCATTGAAGAGTGGACTAGCCGAGCTCCTAGGCCGGTGAACCACTATATTTTCACTGTGTACACCCCTTTAATCCCTTGAATATTTTATGGTAGCATCATACACGAGTCTCATAGCTTTGATCCACGCTCATCTTACATTACTTTCATCTTAAGCTTATCCACATTGATATACGTTATTAGTTTAAGCTCATCTACGTTGATATACGTTATTAGAACCAAATGCAAAATCTTTAATTTTTCATAAGGATTCATATAATATTAGATTACCAAATGAAAACCAAAATCAGAAATATCTTTGTACAATTTGCAAAGAAGTTTTTTGTGTCAGAACAAAAGCATTCGTATTTAACATAAAATTGATTTATTTATTATCCATATTAAAACCTATTTTATTTTCAATTTTGTGTTAAGGAAATTGTATATTTCTTGTTGGTTGATTTGTACTTTGTGTCCTAAAAATTTTCTCCGTAAATGAGGTATGTAATATTATGTTTCTAAGTTGTTTATACTAAATCATACTAAAGTTATTTATAATAATGTATAATCAAACTTGTATCATATTATATCTTTGTCGTATATAAATTTACTAGGAATAACTCGTACTTTAACGTACTATGCAATATGAATGATATTGGTGGTCGTTGGATAAATCTATTTAAAACCGTCGAATGAACTTATTAAAATCTATCATGTTTTATATTAAAGACTAGAGGTAACCCATGTCTGAAAGTACGGTGTAATGTCAATGATTTTAATAGGAATATTAGTGGCTGTTAGATGAGTGTATTTGAAATCGTTAGATGAACTTATTAAAGTCTCTCTTGTTATATCTTATAAGTATTTATTTGAATTTATATTAACTTTTGTTATTTAATGAATATGACTCGTTCACTCCTTTATAATCAAATGTATAAAAGAAAATTTTATTTATTAATTATACTGTTAATTTCTTTTCTACACAAAATTACCAGGCCTAAGGTTAGGATGTACATGCATCCGCAATCACAAGAAAAGTCGGCACAAGTAAACGAAAATAAAATTTCCTCTATTATTAATTATTAAATTCATTGTATCTCACTTCAATAAATAATCGCCGTTGAATTTGTTGATCCCACCGATCCAATGAGATCTATAGAAAACCCACCTGTGAAAAAGGTGTCAGTGGAGGTGTCATTATAGAAAAAGATGCCCCAGCCCGCCATCTTGACCGAAAAATTCAATCGCATTTATGCGTTACAAACAATCCCGTACACGTCTGACGCGCGGATAAGTCTATTTTTTAACATTATATTATAAAAATAGTTTTAATCGTAAATTTTATTTTTTTATTAAAAAAATAGAGACAAAAAAGAGCATTCAAATATTACCCCAATAATATGTCATTAGTAGCGACCTAACTTTATCATAAATTTTATTTATAATTATTTATAATTATCAATAGTAAAATTAATAAAATCTCACATGTGTTGTGTTGAGATTAACAAAAAAAGAACTAAGGTATCCAAAAATTAATTTCATTTTACGATTAAGTTCTTTGTCAATTTTTTAAGAAATATGAATTTTTTTTAATTATCTCTTTATATTAATGAAGGTTTATAAATATTAGTAAATTTAATTGATTCACAATATATTAAATTTTTAAAATTTAAATTAAATTAATTTATTTATATGTACATATCTTAATTATTAAAAAGAAAATGTAATTCTGTAATTCTTGTAAAATTAAAAGAAAGCTTAACCTTATTTTGGTAATACAAGTAACGCGCGGTACGTGTGGCCCTTAACGCCAGCGCGCCAGCCTCTTTCCTCTATATAATACTCCCTAAACTTCCGCTTCTCCTGTCAAACCCAACTATCCACAACCATTAACCAGTAACAACCGTCTCTCTCTTCTCTGTATCTCTCCGGCTGATCTAAGTCCTAAAATGGACGTTCGCCGGCGACCTGTTAAGCCGCTCATCTCGGCAAAATCCGCCGCCGGCGAACTTCTCAAACCCCACAAATTCCAAAATCATTCTTCTTCCTCTCCAAGAGCCTCCGATGCACTTCCTCTTCCTCTCTACCTAACTAATGGAGTGTTCTTCACGTTGTTCTTCTCCGTCATGTACTTCCTCCTCCATAGGTGGCGTGAGAAGATCCGTAACTCCACTCCACTCCATGTTGTCACTCTCTCTGAGCTCGCTGCCCTGGCCTCGTTGATCGCGTCGGTTATCTATCTTCTTGGGTTTTTTGGAGTTGGGTTTGTTCAGTCCTTCGTTATCAGGACATCCAGTGAACATTGGGACGTAGAGGATGAGAACATGGGAGATTTCATCCTAGAGGAAGACAGTCGCCGTGGACCATGCTCCGCCTCAACAACTATTGGTTGCGCCGTCCCCATGGTTCCTCTGCCTCCCAAGGTAGCGGTGGAGGAGGTGGAAAAGGTGGCCGCAGCAACTGCACAATCTTCAGTGGAGGACGAGGAGATTATTAAGTCGGTGGTGGCCGGGACAACTACGTCGTACTCCTTGGAATCCAAGCTCGGAGACTGTAAAAGAGCAGCGGCGATACGACGGCAAGCGTTACAACGGCTGACCGGGAAATCCTTGTCCGGGCTTCCACTAGATGGTTTTGACTACGAGTCAATACTGGGACAGTGCTGTGAAATGCCGGTGGGGTACGTGCAAATTCCGGTGGGGATTGCCGGGCCGTTGTTGCTCGACGGGATAGAGTACTCTGTGCCGATGGCGACGACTGAGGGGTGTCTGGTGGCGAGCACCAATAGGGGTTGCAAAGCCATCTATGTTTCCGGTGGCGCCACCAGTGTTCTATTGAGGGACGGCATGACCAGAGCTCCGGTTGTCCGGTTCGGCACTGCTAAGAGGGCCGGCGAGTTGAAACACTTCTTGGAGAATCCCTTGAATTTTGAGACTCTCTCCGTCGTTTTCAATAAGTGAGTACACACATGAACTTGCATTTTCTTTCAAAGATCAAGAGATTAAGAAAATGAGTTTTTGTTTTGATTGTCAAGACAAATAGAAAAAAAACCTTACAATTTGGCTTTCTTTCCATTGGATTATTCGCCTGTTTTTAAGCTAGTAATCCTTTTTTGATTTGACCTTTCTGCGACCTTTTCACCTTTGAGGGTATTTACCGTTTTACAGGTGGTTGGTGAGGATAAAATATGTGTGGAGTTTGGTTTTTGCTTCTTTATTTTTTTTTATTTGTGGTATGCTAGGGGATACTTGTAATTTTACTATTGCAAATTCAACTTTTCACCTTATACATGCATCAAATTGGAATCTTTATTTAAGCAAGAAACCCTTCTTTAGTTTTCTGTGACCTTATCACCTGTGAGTGTTTCAACCATTTTACTGCTGTCGGTGAGGATTAAAATATGCGTGCAACTTGGTTTTTCTTCTCACTTTTATGTTTGACTTTGCATTACTTTTAAATTTTTTTGTATGTAATTCTTTGACAATATTCTTTCTGTATCAGTGTCATCATGGTTCATTGTCATCCTTTGAATTATACTGTTTGTGGATACAACTTTTCAGCGTAATATGCATGAAATGAGAATCTTTGTTTGATCTTTTACTCCACGTATTACAATAGACCTTCTATTAGCCGATATCTAACTCATATCATGTCTCTAAGTCAGAGCGATCTTGTTTTTTTACTTATCCCAAAAAAAAAAAAGGAGCGGTCAATTGTACGAAATTCCTGACCACTAATTAGTATGATCTCAAGGTTAAATCTTTTGCTGGCATGTTCAATCTCAATAGCTTGTTTACTGTGGCATTCTGGTAACAGATCAAGCAGATTTGCAAGACTACAAAAGATTCAATGTGCAATAGCAGGGAAGAACCTGTACATAAGATTCAACTGCAGCACTGGCGATGCAATGGGGATGAACATGGTCTCCAAAGGCGTACAAAATGTCCTGGATTTCCTTGAGAGTGATTTCCCTGACATGGACGTCATCGGCATCTCTGGTAAAGCCAATCTCTGCGTTTTCTTATCTTTTGTTAGTTGGAATGGTAAAAAATAGGAGGATGTAAATTAAGAGATATATATTTTCTCTCTTTAAAGAAAAAAAAATAAAAATGATATATTTTTAAAAATAGAAATAATACACTTTCGTTTGATAGAATGTATGAAAAATAAAAATTATTAATTTTTTTTGTGCTTGGTAAAATAGAAAAAAATATTTTTTAATTTTTAATTTTTAATTTTTAATTTTTAATTCATTTAAATTTAAATTTTATTTTTGAAAAGAATATATATATATATATAACAAATGATATATATAGACAAATAATATACATTTCAATATAAATAATTAACTTTTCATATATTTTCCTTTTAATTTTAGAGGGATTGATTTTGATGAGTTGGAAGGAAAACTCATCTATCTACTTTTTCGTCTCTTCTTATTTTTCTTTCTTAGCAAAGATCATGTGTTTATCTATTACTCTAATTATTTATCATTTTAAGTTTACATCGTGCCAAACACCAAACATAGCAAATAGAGCACTATTTTTACCATTTATCTCTACGTTTGATGGCTTCCATGTCCCACCGGTCTTCATTCTAATTATTTTTCTCCCATTTCATTTAAATTTTGGAATATTATTTTTCATCACTCGGTGACTATGAAGCATGTACACTCTTGAGAAGGTCACATATCCGTGTTAGACACGTGACGAACACCAACACTCTACGGACACTCTCGAATATGTATCCGATATTCTTTTATTTGTATTTAAAATTAAATGATAAATTTTTAATTTCAAACGCATATTAGACATTTATTTGATGACGTGTTCAACACTTCTTTAAAATATGTTTACTATTAAACAATAGATATGTTTTGAAATGTGATTAACAAAGTTTAAAATTTTGAGAACATATAATTACTAACATTAGATATGTTAAAAATTGTATTCAAAATATAAAAATTAAAATTTTAAAAAATAGTAATTAAAAAAATGAGTGTAATTATTTAAATTATATATTAAGTATACATTGTATACAAAAAAAAAATTGATAATTATTGACTATTATGAGAATAATTTATTCTAAAAATTCACACAAATGATTGAACATTATATTTATTTATTATAAAATATTAAATCTTGTATAAATTATATATCATTATCATTATTAACAATAAATTATATAATGTTATGCATAAAATATAATTTTTTTATAACATATCATTAACGTATTTTTATTCTATTTTTTAAAAAGTTATTATGTCAATGTGTCTTTATTGTATCCTATTTGTGTTTGTATATGCTGTGTTTGTGTCCATGTTACTTAGCTTGGTGGTGACTCTTTTTTATTCCATCATTTTTGCTGTCGTGATCTCATGGTACAATCATTTACGGCAGTACCTTACTCTTGAAAACATGGTTCAAAGTAATGGTGATATTGTCGTGACTCAGATCAGTCTTATTTGATTTGACATCTCCTCTATCATTATATTATTCTTTGAAGTAATATTATAATTGTTAAATTTTTTTACCAAATTTTTTGCCTCAAATAATATAACACAATTTTTATTTTTGAATAATAATAAAATTTATTTATTTGATGATAAAAATTATACTGTATCATTTAAGATAACAATTTAGTAAACATAACATTATTCTTATTCTCCCTTTTTGCATAAATTATAAGTCTCCTTCGACTTAATTGAGTAGTTTGAGAAATATAACAGTCATCTTCAAGTCATGTGTATTGTTATATATTGACTTGTAAAGTTTTGCAAAGCCACAAAATAATTTAACTATCTCATCATTTTAACTTTTTTTATTTAATGTTGGNTATTTTTATTCTATTTTTTAAAAAGTTATTATGTCAATGTGTCTTTATTGTATCCTATTTGTGTTTGTATATGCTGTGTTTGTGTCCATGTTACTTAGCTTGGTGGTGACTCTTTTTTATTCCATCATTTTTGCTGTCGTGATCTCATGGTACAATCATTTACGGCAGTACCTTACTCTTGAAAACATGGTTCAAAGTAATGGTGATATTGTCGCGACTCAGATCAGTCTTATTTGATTTGACATCTCCTCTATCATTATATTATTCTTTGAAGTAATATTATAATTGTTAAATTTTTTTACCAAATTTTTTGCCTCAAATAATATAACACAATTTTTATTTTTGAATAATAATAAAATCTATTTATTTGATGATAAAAATTATACTGTATCATTTAAGATAAAAACTTACTAAACATAACATTATTCTTATTCTCCCTTTTTGCATAAATTATAAGTCTCCTTTGACTTAATTGAGTAGTTTGAGAAATATATTAGTCATCTTCAAGTCATGTGTATCGTTATATATTGACTTGTAAAGTTTTGCAAAGCCACAAAATAATTTAACTATCTCATCATTTTAACTTTTTTTATTTAATGTTGANTATCTACTTTTTCGTCTCTTCTTATTTTTCTTTCTTAGCAAAGATCATGTGTTTATCTATTACTCTAATTATTTATCATTTTAAGTTTACATCGTGCCAAACACCAAACATAGCAAATAGAGCACTATTTTTACCATTTATCTCTACGTTTGATGGCTTCCATGTCCCACCGGTCTTCATTCTAATTATTTTTCTCCCATTTCATTTAAATTTTGGAATATTATTTTTCATCACTCGGTGACTATGAAGCATGTACACTCTTGAGAAGGTCACATATCCGTGTTAGACACGTGACGAACACCAACACTCTACGGACACTCTCGAATATGTATCCGATATTCTTTTATTTGTATTTATAATTAAATGATAAATTTTTAATTTCAAACGCATATTAGACATTTATTTGATGACGTGTTCAACACTTCTTTAAAATATGTTTACTATTAAACAATAGATATGTTTTGAAATGTGATTAACAAAGTTTAAAATTTTGAGAACATATAATTACTAACATTAGATATGTTAAAAATTGTATTCAAAATATAAAAATTAAAATTTTAAAAAATAGTAATTAAAAAAATGAGTGTAATTATTTAAATTATATCTTAAGTATACATTGTATACAAAAAAAAAATTGATAATTATTGACTATTATGAGAATAATTTATTCTAAAAATTCACACAAATGATTGAACATTATATTTATTTATTATAAAATATTAAATCTTGTATAAATTATATATCATTATCATTATTAACAATAAATTATATAATGTTATGCATAAAATATAATTTTTTTATAACATATCATTAACGTATTTTTATTCTATTTTTTAAAAAGTTATTATGTCAATGTGTCTTTATTGTATCCTATTTGTGTTTGTATATGCTGTGTTTGTGTCCATGTTACTTAGCTTGGTGGTGACTCTTTTTTATTCCATCATTTTTGCTGTCGTGATCTCATGGTACAATCATTTACGGCAGTACCTTACTCTTGAAAACATGGTTCAAAGTAATGGTGATATTGTCGCGACTCAGATCAGTCTTATTTGATTTGACATCTCCTCTATCATTATATTATTCTTTGAAGTAATATTATAATTGTTAAATTTTTTTACCAAATTTTTTGCCTCAAATAATATAACACAATTTTTATTTTTGAATAATAATAAAATCTATTTATTTGATGATAAAAATTATACTGTATCATTTAAGATAAAAACTTACTAAACATAACATTATTCTTATTCTCCCTTTTTGCATAAATTATAAGTCTCCTTTGACTTAATTGAGTAGTTTGAGAAATATATTAGTCATCTTCAAGTCATGTGTATCGTTATATATTGACTTGTAAAGTTTTGCAAAGCCACAAAATAATTTAACTATCTCATCATTTTAACTTTTTTTATTTAATGTTGACATGTATCGTATGATACTGTTTAGTAAAACCGACCAATGAATTTTATATCATTCAAGTTGTGGCTCATATCATAGTGCTTGAAATAAAAAAAATTCAGTGAGTACTACACCCCATGTGAGTGTTATTTGATGTACACATTTAATTAGAGCTTGTCATAAAAGAAGTTTGTGAGACACATTAGTTAGTTTTTTAGTTAATTATCTATTGGACCCTTAAATTCTATTATTTGTGTCAATTAAATATTTGAGTTATTATTTTTTGTCAATTTAACTTCTAAATTATATTATTTGTGTCAATGTGGTCTTTTTATCCAAATTTATGATTAACTTTGATAAAATTCATCACGTGCACATCACATGAGTCGGGATTAGTGTATCATTTAAGGGTCATGTGTTGTGCACATAAGAAATTTTGTCAAATTGAACGACAAATTTAGACGGCATGACCATATTGACAGAAATTGTATAGTTCTGGGGTTAAATTAATACAAAATATAGTTTAATAATTGACAAAAATGGTATAATTCAAGAGTCAAATAGATAGTTAATCTTAACTTTTTTAAAAATTTTTTTGATAAGTACATAAGTGTCAGACATTTATTGAACATATAAATTTTTTATATTGCATGTGTTAAATCCTGAAAAATTTCATCGAAAATGGATGTTGGTTGGTTATTTTGCTACCCGGAGATTCAGCTAAATTGGGTGTTTGAATGAATTTGGGCAGGAAATTTCTGCTCGGACAAGAAGCCAGCGGCTGTGAACTGGATAGAAGGCCGTGGCAAGTCTGTTGTGTGCGAGGCCATTATCAAAGAAGAGGTGGTGAAGAAGGTCTTGAAGACCAACGTAGCTGCACTGGTTGAACTCAACATGCTTAAGAACCTCACAGGATCCGCCATGGCCGGCGCACTTGGAGGGTTCAATTCCCATGCCAGTAACATTGTCTCCGCCGTGTACATAGCCACCGGCCAGGACCCAGCTCAGAATGTGGAGAGCTCTCACTGCATCACCATGATAGAAGCTGTTAATGATGGCAAGGACCTTCATATCTCTGTCTCCATGCCTTCCATTGAGGTATGCATCTTCACATGAATTTCTGCCACAACCTTATCTCTGTCTAGAACCTTTTTTGTGGATTAAAATTTTCAAAAAAAAAAAATTACAATTCAAGAGATTAAATTATTAAAAAATATTATTTGTACCTAATTTGGGACTTCATCTAGAGAAATAATATATTACAATTAATCAAATGACCGCAATAAATTATCTCTAATTAGATCCCATGGTATTACTCAAAAACATTTAAGTGGGTGTTTATGGGGGAAAATTGATATCCCTTGTCAATTTGTTGCGCCAACAATACTGTTTGTTCTAATTTTTTTTTATCAAGTTCTAATTTATTGTTAATATAATACTATTTGAACATAATTTGTTACATATACCTAATTGTTTGTCACTAAGCAACTTGGATTCGTCCTACTATCACACATTGGAATTAAAAAATTATTTTTTGATATGGTATCTTATTTTCTTTAATNTTGATTCGTTGGGAGGATAAGACTCCTCTTGATTGGGTCGTCTTTGACTCCCTCGTCTGAAAATAAGGAGGGTGAGATTTATCTGGGGTCATGTTTGATAAAATTGAAAGTTGAACACTAAAAANTTGATTCGTTGGGAGGATAAGACTCCTCTTGATTGGGTCGTCTTTGACTCCCTCGTCATTGACTCCCTCGTCTGAAAATAAGGAGGGTGAGATTTATCTGGGGTCATGTTTGATAAAATTGAAAGTTGAACACTACNGGTATCTCTCTCGCTGGTTATCTTGGAAAGCCATGATCTCTCCTTCCAAGATCTCTTACAACCAATTAATTATCACAAAAATTTGTGGTACTTGTTATATGCATCTTTACTGGTTTCCACGAGTTTTTCTCTAATNAATTTTTTAATTCATAAACTGTTTGATAACAACTGAAATTAAAGTAATGAATTTAATTAAACTATTTGACAAATATAAAGAGCTGAAGTCTAAAAATTATTATTATTCTAATTTTGTCATTCTTTTTAACCATCTCTTCGCAACTATCTTATTTCCATCACTACCGTCACAATGGTGGTGGTAGAGATGGCGACGATGGTGATGATGGGGGCAACAACACAATGGTGGTGGTGGTGGTGACGACGGTGGTACANAATTTTTTAATTCATAAACTGTTTGATAACAACTGAAATTAAAGTAATGAATTTAATCAAACTGTTTGACAAATATAAGGAGCTGAAGTCTAAAAACTATTATTATTCTAATTTTGTCATTCTTTTTAACCATCTCTCCGCAACTATCTTATTCCTATCACTACCGTCACAATGGTGGTGGTAGAGATGGCGAAGATGGTGATGATGGGGCAACAACACAATAGTGGTGGTGGTGGTGACGACGGTGGTACGNACAAGAATTAAATAAAGTTGTATATCTTAACGAATTTTTTTTTATGTTTCTGTAAAAGAAGTCTAATATTGAACTTCTACATAACTAATTGATCAGGTGGGTACAGTAGGAGGAGGAACTCAGCTAGCATCTCAATCAGCTTGCCTAAACCTACTAGGAGTGAAGGGTGCGAGAAAGGAGTCACCAGGCTCAAATTCAAGGCTTTTGGCCACCATTGTAGCTGGATCTGTTCTTGCTGGCGAGCTATCTGTGATGTCTGCTATAGCAGCAGGACATCTTGTAAACAGTCACATGAAGTACAACAGATCAAGTAAAGATGTCACCAAGGTACCACCCTCCTAAAGAGGGAACACAACACAACTACTAATAAGAGCCCTCCCCCACCAAGTGCAACTATAAGTAAAAACGACAAAAAAAAATAATAATAAATAATTTAGAAATAAATCTCCAATGAAGAGGGGTAGAAGACAAGAAGTCGTGTGGGGGAGAAGAAAAGAAATATAAACCAGACAAAGCCTGTTGTGTATTCTTTTTATGAATAGCAATGTGAGGTTTGGATCTCTTTCCCAGACGTAGAGAGACAGAAATTGCTGTGAAGTTGTGGGGAGAAATTAGCTTTGGACGTAGCGTGGGCTTGTTTTTGTNGTAGAGAGACAGAAATTGCTGTGAAGTTGTGGGGAGAAATTAGCTTTGGACGTAGCGTGGGCTTGCTTTGTTTTTTTTTTCTCTGCATAATGCCAGTTGTTAGTATGCGGAGGCTCCCAACATTTGGCATAGTGCCTGTATTATGTTTCACTTGTTTTTTTAATTGTAATCTGTTTGTAAGTTAGGAAGAAGGTGCCTCAAAAGTGGGATTTAAATATATTCAAAAACTAGCCTCTCTTGCAATCTGTAAATTGCGTAAAACTAGGGAAGGTCCTGAAAGTTACAAGTAAATATGAATGGGTAATAACTCTTATATGATTAAATTATGACTAAAAAAACCCCAGTTATGACGCATTAAAGTTCAATTACGATTAAGAAAGCTGCAAATTACCATATAATCACTCTTATTTTATAGAGTAACTAGAGGTAATCCGTGCCTAAAGGCACGGTACAGCGTAAGTGAAAAGTGACGGATTAAAAATTTAATTTATCAAAAAGCATATCACCAAAATTTATTTTATCAAAAATTTTTTTACAAATATAATTTATAAAATATTATTATTTTAATTAGTATAAGTTATTACAAAATTATTAATTTATAATAATATATTAGCGTTGAATTTTCTTAAGAGATAAAAAAAAGTTAGTCTTGAACTTTTGATTCAAGATATGTGTAAGACATGTTACTTTGAGATAATTAATTAAATAAATAAATAAAATTAAAATTAATTATATTCAATATAACTGTGTTAAGTAACGCCCTTTTTTTTTTATTTGTTAAATTGATGAGTTTTTTTAATCAAAATGTTATTATTATGTCTTACAAAAATTCAAATTGTTCTGAAAGAAAGTTATAATTATTATTTTATTTATAATGTTAATGAATGTTCTGTGTTCCAAGATCAGTCGTAATCGTTGACCAATTGAGGGAAAAATGTTAAGAAAAATATGGTAATTTATTGACCTTTGGATAAATGAATTTTAAGATCCTAGGATGTGTCCAAAATTAGTCATAATTGTTGATTGATTAGGGGGGAATATTAAGGAAAAAAAAAGTAATTTCTTAACCATTGGATGAATGAATTTGAGACTGTAGGATGAACTTATTGAAGCCGCCCTGTTTTATATTATAGATGCTACATTGACCAAATTTACTGATCAAATATCAATCCCAAATGACATGACAATATATTATTTGGAGTTTTTATTGGGGCCCAAATGATATGATACCAAATAAAGAAATCCACGTCAGTAACCATGTCATTTGGGATGGATATTTGGTCCTAAAATTTGGTCACTCTAACATTACTGTATTTTATAATAACTTCGTTGTGATGGTAAAAAATAAGGATTTAGTACAAAGTTTTCCTTAATAGCTTTGAATAAAAAAATTTAATATTGATCCTGCAATTTTTATATTTTAAATAATAATTTATTTTTTTAATTAAGTAATTTAAAATTAATATGAAGAGAGAAAAAATATGAGAGAGTTAGATGTGTCTTGTTGATGTGTTAGTTGAGTTGTCTCGCATTTGTGGCTACTAAAGTTAATGTTTTTGAGCTAAAAAAAATTTTGAGATGAATTTTGTACCATTAGATTAAAATAGATGAAAATTAAGTTAATCATGACCGTTTAATTGTAATATTAGATAAAGTCGATCCTATATATTCGCCATCAAAGTATTTTTCAAAGGATGCTGAGGGAGTTTGATNAAAGTTCAATTACGATTAAGAAAGCTGCAAATTACCATATAATCACTCTTATTTTAGAGAGTAACTAGAGGTAATCCGTGCCTAAAGGCACGGTACAACGTAAGTGAAAGTGACGGATTAAAAATTTAATTTATCAAAAAACATATCACCAAAATTTATTTTATCAAAAATAATTTTACAAATATCATTTATAAAATATTATTATTTTAATTAGTATAAGTTATTACAAAATTATTAATTTATAGTAATATATTAGCGTTGAATTTTCTTAAGAGATAAAAAAAAATTAGTCTTGAACTTTTGATTTAAGATATGTGTAAGACATGTTACTTTGAGATAATTAAATAAATAAATAAATAAAATTAAAATTAATTATATTCAATATAACTGTGTTAAGTAGCGCCCTTGTTTTTTTTATTTGTTAAATTGATGAGTTTTTTTTAATTAAAATATTATTATGTCTTATAAAAATTCAAATTGTTATGAAAGAAAGTTATAATTATTAGTTTATTTATAATGTTAATGAATGTTCTGTGTTCCAAGATCAGTTGTAATCGTTGGCCAATTGGGGGGAAAATATTAAGAAAAATATGGTAATTTATTGACCTTTGGATAAATGAATTTAAGATCCTAGGATGTGTCCAAAATTAGTCATAATTGTTGATTGATTGGGGGGGGGGGGAATATTAAGGAAAAAAAAATTAATTTCTTAATCATTGGATGAATGAATTTGAGACCGTAGGATGAGCTTATTGAAGCCACCCTGTTTTATATTATAGATGCTACATTGACCAAATTTACTGACCAAATATCAATCCCAAATGAAATGACAGTATATTATTTGGAGTCTTTATTGGGGCCCAAATAATATGATACCAAATAAAGAAATTCACGTCAGTAACCATGTCATTTGGGATGGATATTTGGTCCTAAAGTTTGGTCACTCTAACATTACTGTATTTTATANTCACGTCAGTAACCATGTCATTTGGGATGGATATTTGGTCCTAAAGTTTGGTCACTCTAACATTACTGTATTTTATAATAACTTCGTTGTGATGGTAAAAAATAAGGATTTAGTACAAAGTTTTCCTTAATAGCTTTGAATAAAAAAATTTAATATTGATCCTGCAATTTTTATATTTTAAATAATAATTTATTTTTTTAATTAAGTAATTTAAAATTAATATGAAGAGAGAAAAAATATGAGAGAGTTAGATGTGTCTTGTTGATGTGTTAGTTGAGTTGTCTCACATTTGTGGCTACAAAAGTTAATGTTTTTGAGCTAAAAAAAATTTTGAGATGAATTTTGTATCATTAGATTAAAATAGATGAAAATTAGATTAATCATGACCGTTTAATTGTAATATTAGATAAAGTAGATCCTATATATTCGCCATCAAAGTATTTTTCAAAGGATGCTGAGGGAGTTTGATACGAAGCATAGCATGTGATGTGCATCTCATGTTTGCTGGAACTACATATAGAATTGCAAGTTTCCAGAATCTCGACACATTACAGGTGCTAAATGCAAATCTCTCCCACACTAACACGCAGGGGAAAAAACGAAGCAGAGACCCATTTTTTAGGGTCATAGCAAATATACATTGAACATAATACCAAACGGGTAATGTTACACTAATCGAAAAATAAGATCTAAAATAGAACTTGACATTTAATTTAAAAAGTAAATCTTGAATATTCAATGGGTAAAAGTGCATTAAAAATGTCATTTTTGCAATAAAATATTATTTTGTTCCCTTTTTTTTTTGGTCGTTGTAGCGTAATAACAAACGGACACATCTGCCTTGTTTGGCATTGAATAGAATGTCATGCATGCTGTTATATGGAAGCTTGAGATGGGACTGAAGATCCACATGATGCTTCTTCAAATTTTCATGCTATATGTGGCGTCACTGATTCAGTGGTGCTACCTTGGCGGCTTCTATAAGAAATTGTGTTTTTTTTAATTAGTTAAAGAACATCTGCGTTGAACATAAATAAGTTTGAGTTATAATTTATTTTTTAACTTTTGACTTATGAGTTTTGAAATTTATTTGCTCGATAAAATCTTTAGACGTGGTTTTTGTATTGACAATTACTTAAAAGAATGAATAAGTAATGGTGGTGGGTTGTGTAGTTTCATGTGAATCCATGATGTGAAACCCAAATCCTAACTCACTTTTTTTTTTTTTTGTGGTTAAATCCTAGACATGAATTTTTTTATTATTATTCAGTAATGTTCTATTGTAACCATATTTCACAATTTATCCTTTTTTCCCTTAACTTGAGCTGAAAATAATTCTTTTTCATAGTCTTGCAAATTTGTTATGATAGACTTATGTTGGATTTACCTTGTATTTGTCATGTAACATTGGAACTATTAAATTATTCTTAAAGCATTTGCAAGAGCTTACGCAGTGAGCATTGCACACCTTTTCCCTTAGTTCTTTTTATTAATCCAGGGAATAGCTTCCCTCAAAAGATGGACTCTAAGCTTTCTTTTCCCCAGTTTAGGAGGTGAGGGTCCTTTCGAGAATGGATTATAGGCTCCCTCCTTGATTCGTTGGGAGGATAAGACTCCTCTTGATTGGGTCGTCTTTGACTCCCTCGTCATTGACTCCCTCGTCTGAAAATAAGGAGGGTGAGATTTATCTGGGGTCATGTTTGATAAAATTGAAAGTTGAACACTACTTGAATATTGAATTTTAAGTGTTGAATGATGAATTTTTTAATTCATAAACTGTTTGATAACAACTGAAATTAAAGTAATGAATTTAATCAAACTGTTTGACAAATATAAGGAGCTGAAGTCTAAAAACTATTATTATTCTAATTTTGTCATTCTTTTTAACCATCTCTCCGCAACTATCTTATTCCTATCACTACCGTCACAATGGTGGTGGTAGAGATGGCGAAGATGGTGATGATGGGGCAACAACACAATAGTGGTGGTGGTGGTGACGACGGTGGTACGATGGTAG